CACTGTGTTCTGTCCTTTCTTGCCACAATATAGTTGTGCCAGTGTGCATGCATGACGAGCCAGGCTGCCAGTTGCTATGGCTAATTACTTGTGCCCAGGTGCATAAATACAAACCTCATTACATGTCTAACAGTGTGCTCGTCCCCGGATGCAAGCAGCAGCCCCTGGCTTTCTCTGTTTATCAAAAAGAGATTCAGGTGCGTGTAGCTCATTGTGCGCTAAGCAGCAGCATTTCTCATGTGCCAAGACGTTTACACGTGTATGAAAAATCGTGTCCACGTTTACTTCAGACTTCTTTCTAGTTTTTAATGTGCTCGTGCATCCTGAAAACTCCACATCTTCTCTAACGACAATTTTACTTCCATTTGGATAGCTACGTCTCAATTCATATGGATGCACGCTTCGGCGCATCCACACGCCTATGCATATATAAGCATATACGTCAGCACATCTCACAGAATATGTACTTTGTCTTCATAGAGATGAGTGTTTTTACTCCTTTACTGGGGAACATGTGATATCTGGTCGTTTGTCCCCAGAACTTAGCTACCCGCCTGCGTCCTTCTCTGTGAAGACTAATATTCAGTTGAATGTATATGTGCTCCCGAGTGCATACAGTGACGCATGTGTTGACGAAGTAGATATATACAGGAATACGAAAAAATGTAAATTCGAAGTTAGAAACGCGTAGGAAAATCTCCCCACGCGCACCTTTCGGAGTCCGGGGTTTGATATGAACTTGCGTGAAAACACCAATATATCGAGCGATACTTCTTGTCTATGTATAACTTATTTTGGCTCCTGGCCTTGCTCACTCCGCTAAAACCTGCATTTTTAGTTCGGCAATTGTGGAACTGCTTACTCGGACCGCCATTTCGTCGGTCACGCGAGAGGCTTGTGCTCGTGAGGCTTCCAGGCAGCGTATTTTCTCGACGTAAAAAGGAATATACTTTTTCGGGGGAAACATAGCCCTGTTTTTCGCGAAGTGTCGGCAGGAAACAGTACGAGCAGGCAGGACCACTGGTTACGTTACAGAAAAAACGCCAGTGGTTAGGCTGTAAACACAACTGAGCAGACGGACTGAGTGGGGGGTAAAAAGGCCTTTATGTGCATTGCAATGAAAACTTAACAAAACGCTACACCAGAACTCAGAAAAAGCCTAAGTCTAGTGAACGATGCCTTGTCCACCGGTCGTGGCTTGCGCCACCATCCAATGTTTGCTCCTGACTGCGAAGCCGCGGTCCCACTAACTTCCTTCATCGCAGCAGCGAGTCGAACATCAGAACACTGGCTCTGCTACATTCTAAAAAATACCTGAACTGTAAATACCTCACCATCTAGCGATAACTCTGGCTCGAAACGATTGCTAGTGAGGTTTGTCATTCTCGCTGCTGTGGAGAGTGGGGCCCCACCGGTGCGGGCGATCACGCGGTTAGTGGCTGGGGCTTCAACTTAGGCCTTGAAAGACTGTGAAGCGCATATATGCAAAATACGTACAATCCAAAAAGCACTTTAGTTAAAGGCTCCGCAGGAAGCGCCATTTCTCTGTACGCTTATTACGGCGTACCCAAAGCGCTCGTGCAGTGGCTATGAGGTCACCCTGTCAAGTCTCTGCATGCCGGATTGCCCTCACAGGCTCCCCTTTACTAGCTTTGCTTCTTTTTCAACTAATTTTTTACATGCAAATATTTCTCGCTGGCATCAAATTCACGTTTCTGGCTGACAGCACCGCTGCAAGTGCTGTTACCTTTGTGGCATCATAGCACATGAAGCTTTTGAGAGCACCCGTGTAGTAGCCGAACTTTTAGCCTTTGCACTCTCATACATCCTTTTTGATTCACTCGTTCTGTAAGCCGTTCAAGTCGTTCTCAAGTATAGTCAGCACTCACGACCTCGGTAAGGCACAAGGAAGCCCCAATGTTGAGCAGTGCTCGCAGCCCGATTCCGACTTTTCAAATCATTGATGCCATACTTACCATGCATCACTGTGATATGCGTACACCTTAGCCAGCAATGACTCCCCAAGAAGAGAAGGAAGTTTCTGACGCCTCATCGGACACCGGCTCAGATCTGTCTGAAGAAGAAGAGACAAAGGAGTCCGAAGACCAAGTGCCTCTTGAGCAATTTGCCACCGATGAGAAGTTTGCAACAACTTTGGAGCTTCTTCAGCTGCCGCCAGCCGAAAGAAGCCGAGAAAATGTAGGGATAATGCACAAGCCGTAACCACCCAAGCACAGGAACTCTCAATCTGACAGCCAAACCGTAAACGCGCAACCACTGCTTGATCCCCTCACTCCCATTCTACTGCCACCACAGCAACCACGGTCATATGCTGTCAGGCTTAAGGAAGTGTGCAGCCCGTGATTTGAGAGCAGTGCGTGAACGAATTCCCTACGCATTGTGGCTCCAGAAGCTGTCTTCTAGGCTCAGCTCTATGAACTAGTTTAGACCCCGGCCAACGTTCCGCTGCTTGTGCTGCTTGTTGGAGCATTGACTGTTTGAGCATTTATGCTTGAGCAACTTCTTTAGCCACTAAAGCTTGTTCTTCGTAGTCACGGATGCGATAAAAAACCTGTTTCGGGCAGCGTTGATTACCTAGGTTGTTTTCGTTCAACGTCTTCTTCGTATCCAGGTGGAGTGTATCTTTTCGCTGGTAAAAGACAATAAGTTTTTTGCAGAGCTAGACGCTGAAATGTCTCTGGAGCTTTGTCGTCATATGACATACACCACCAAGAAAAAAGACAGAGTTGTGTTTTACAAAGGCGATCCAGGTGATTTTGCCGCGGCCATTTGCCAGCCCCTTCGTCACTTTGCGCATACTCATTAGGCTTTTGGAATTTTGCTGCTGCCCAGGAGACATGCAGCAAAATTTCAGTGCAACAGATCGAAAGTATTCGAGCTGCTCGTCCTCTTGAAACCTCTCTGCTGGGCTGCTAGTGGCGCAGTACACCACTGCGCATGAGCCTGTTTTCAGCGGACAACTGGTACCTGATCCTCGCTGGCAACGCAGGGGTATATATTGAAGAGCTCAAGGATCCTCCAGAGGGAGACGGCGGCGAGCAAGGCGACAGCTCTGCAAACCAGGGCCGCGGTAAATGCTTTTGCGCTGTTACATCGTTCGAGAGCCAAAAACGTGTAGAAGATGGTTTCTAGAGTTACCCGTGGGTGTGGATTGTTATTGCCTGACACAGTCTACCTATAAGAGTGAAATAAACACAGTTTACCTGCAACCACGGAGTAAACACATGAAGTGAAATGGCTCACTTGTACGCATGACTAGAGAAAAATCCGGCTGCAATTTCGCTTCTGCCGATGGCAGTCAGCGTGCACAGGAAAACAGTTTTACCGCAGATACCAAAAGAAAAAGCGTCAGTATACGAAGCTTTTGAAACGAGAGACAAGGGCGTTTGCATGTGCTTTCAGCAGTAACAGAATCATCAAAGGAGAGACGTGTTGATATGAACAGTTGTGTGGCAGACCTCGGGGAAGGCCATTCCTTTGGCGAGCTAGGCAAGTACACCAACAGCTGCACCAAGTCCGCTATGTCACTCCCTACTTACAAAAACAAAATGATACCACTAAACATAGCCCGTACAAAACGAAGCAAGCGAGCTGCTCTTCAAATAAACTTGTGTCCCACTTGGAGCAAAATGCACCATAGCGAATTGTGAAGACTGGAGAGGACTGAAATGGCTACATCCTATTCACTGAATCATCAATTTCTTCCGAGGTTTGTCCTGCCCAGCACATTCAGCTGGTGCTTTGCGAAGGCGTTTATCGATGGTACAACTTCTGCAGGTCTGATCCGCAATGACGTTCGGTCAGCGGCGCTAATAGCACACAGCGACTGTCTTTTTCTAACACTGGATAAAAAGTCGTTTCAACACTGTCTTGGCAACTTTCTTAGGCAGAAGACAGATGACAAGGTGAGAAGACCACTCTGTTGTACTAAAAAGATCACATGCCACACTGTATGCCTTGCATTAGCGCACTGGTGTGTTGAGCTACTTTTTCTTTTATGTAATTTCCTACTTCAAAACTTCTCCGGTTTGTCACTGGACGCTTGTACCTAATTGGCCTTGCTGTGAAGCGAGTCAGCGTCGCAAAGTCTTGCGGCTTCCAACCGGTAGAACGGAGTTGCATTGTTTGGATAATGGAGGGGACAATTTCATATTCAGATTTGCTGGCAGACTGATGATGGCTCCATTACACGTTTCTTTGACACGATCCATAATAACAACGTATACCTTCAGCATAAGGAGCCATTCTGAAATATGTTTCCACAGGTACAAACACTCAGACAGGTTCTGCCAGGTGCCAGAGATTTGCGCAAGCTTGTTGTGGAGCAACTCACATACTTTTTTAAAGAAGCAACGTTACAGAAAGACATGCCTTTGAGTACGGAGGGCAACAAAGAGGACACTTTGTATCTTATTGTGAAGGGTGCGTTGTTTCTTCTCTTTTGTCACAAAAAGCCTTTTTGTTTCGAGACAGCACCGAACGGCACATTCCTTAAAAGTGATGACCAGCAAAACAAAACGTTTCTTTACAAAGTACGCTAGCGATTGCATGGCTACCTAGCTTCAGCTGGACTGTCCTATTGGACGTATCATGGTGCAGGCGAGTGTGTACTCCGGACACGACGGCGGTACGCAATCGCCACTGAAGCCAGCGGCAATATTGACAGACTGTTCAAGCAGAGCAAAGGAGAGCTTAATCTTCATATGAGCAGTGTGAAGTGCAGTTCGCTGCAGAGACTTAGAAAATGCGACAACCGAGCAGTTTCGTGCATGAGGAATATTGTCAGCCTCCGTATTGCGAAGCCGCGATGTTTTTTCCTTTGCTGGTGGCTCTGCGCAAACGCATTCATGCTTGCTCTCCTCTGACGGTGCAGAAGATACGTCGGCGATTTCCATTCGCTGTGTGCTGGAACACACGAGGGAAAGTTAGGAGTTGATGCTATCAGTCAGTATAACAGAGTTTCTCAGTGAAGCCACCAGCAAAAACCTTCACGACGGCGCAACATTCATGTGCTCGACGAAAGACAGTTTCGCCTGTGCTCTGTGTCGTTGAAGAGATTCTTCTTCGACGACGCATCAGCGAGAGCTTCGCTAAACAGTTGATATGCACCTCAGTTGCACCGAAGTTACTCATCGCGGGTTGAAGTTGCGTGTTTTGTGATGTTCAAAGGTCAGGTTGTGTCTCGAGCTTTGCGACAGCAGCGGGAAAAAACTGTGAGGAAAAGTACCTTTTTCATGTTCCTTTGTTTGTTGGCCAGCAACATTTTACGCGAAGGCATGGAGGGCACAGCGAACTGCATATTAGGGATCGCCAGGAACCCTGCTGGCCAAACAGCAGCGTTGTAGCTGGCGTAAAATGTAGCTGAAGTACTTTAGGAAAGCAGGAACAGAACCGGAATATACATAGCTGCCCTTGGCCACGGTTTGGTGTTTAATTAATTGCACCTCTAGTCACGGGTGAAAATACAAGATGTATGTGCCAGTGTTTACGTCTCGTCAACCATTCAGGCAGGCGATTCTGGTCGTCCAGGAACTGCAGGAAGTAGCAGCAACCCCTTTGCTACCTCTTCAGACGAAACGAACAATTTGTTTACGGATACGGAGTCGATGCGTGAGCGAGATTGTGAGCAAAGTGGAGGGAAAACAGTTCAGCAGTCTGTATTGCTGGAAGAGCTAGATCTGGCTCTGCTGCAAGAGGGCTGCATTATAAATTTTTGCTCGTTGTTTTTCGACTCGCCGGAGCCTTTTTCCGTTTTCGCTAATTCGAACAAGACCCAAGTTTTTTCGATTACCAAATCCGAACTCTTCAAGCACATGCCGTCTAGTCCGCAACCACTACACACTAGCTGCCAAGACCACGGTTTCCCCCTCTGTAAATTGTGCCTGTATAAAAATGGGATAATTTTGTGGGGTTACCATTGCAAACACAAAGCGTTTGTTGTGAAGCTAAATTTTCCCGTAACGCGCTGCTGTTAGTGTTGTCATTGCCTCGCCAGCATGCTTAATGTGCGCGAAATAATTGCCGAACTGACACTTTAGTGATATCCTGGGGCGAAATGATTGCTTTCTTTTTCCTACTCCTATTGCTGTCAGGGTTTACAGGCATTGCTACGCTGCACACCCGCTGCAAGCACGCGAATGCCGTGTTTATGCTACAGGCGTCATAGATGCAGTACGCGTCACTGGGCTGCTGCTGCTACAACACCTCGAGGCACGCATTGGAAAGCAAGAAGACCGTATCCGACGTCTAGAGCTACTCCACCAGCGCGACGTGAGCCAAATTTGCACGGTGTATGCTCGTCAGTCTGCTGCACTCGACGGATCCAACTAAGAAACCCAGTGAAATCTAAACTGTTTTTTCAGGCCACTCAAAGCAGCGGTGACTTTGCATCTGCAGACAACAGCTCGGGGGGAGAAGACACCACCATGGGGTCAGGACACTCACTTTTGCCCTTGACATTCTCTCCCTTTTTGTCACACAAGATGACGGAGTATATCGCAGCGTCATCATTGTGTCTAGAAAGTAAGCTATGCTGCTTACAATACTAGCAGCCACAAACAGTCCTAACGCATGCAGGAAGAGACGTCACAGTGTACCTTGTGGATTGCTGTTGCGTCTGGGTGACTCATGCATTAATAGGCCACTTCGATCGCTTTACAAGGAACCTCATGTGTTTTCAGCCGCATACAGCGGTGTTGAATCACAGGACGTTCCGCTTACTGCAACAGCAAAAACAAAGGCGCATGCAGCGACATCAAATTTTGCTAGCCGGAGACCCGCAGTACAGCAGCGCCGAAGAGGAAAAGCAAAATATCCCAACACTTCGTCCTCCTTCAGCTACAGCAAGACCCGATGGCTTTCCTGACATTTCGCCGGACCTCTCAGAGGCGCCTGTCCGTGTATGCCCGCAGTGTTACTATGCATTGCTGTGCCGCTTGAGTACTATGCATCGAATTACACTTACGCAACAATTACGCGACAATTAGAAGTCTCATACAGCGCACTCGTCCTTCGAACGTCAATGACTTAAAGTTTCAGCACTACTCATTCGCAAAAGTGCATCCGTGAAGAACAATTTAACCTTGGCAAGCCAGCGCACTGTTTTGCAAATTCGGTTTTTCAAGGCCCCAATGCAGGAACCCGCACCAACTTTAACGGGAAAGCTCATGGCTAACTGTAGGAGAGCAGGAGATGTTTCGACACCCGGTGAAGCTATTGGAAGCGCTGAGGACGATGAACTGACGGAAGCAGCTGCTGCAAGGGAGGCTGCGGCATGCGCTTCCTCAGCTCTAGCACACGGGCACCCCATAGTGTCAGATGCTGGTGAGGCCTGCGCTGTCGCTACGCAGTATACAGCGGCCTCTAGACCTAGTCAATTACTGTAAAGCACACACATCTTTTCTGCAATCTTGCAATGACCTTAGCATAGGCAACACGAGCAGAAAGAAGCTGTGGTTGCCAAGTCGCCACAGGTAGAGCAACCAAGCCGAAGATTTCTGAGACTTAGACGAGCTTCCTGGCCTTGCCCTATAAAATACAGCGGCCTCTAGACCTAGTCAATTACTGTAAAGCACACACATCTTTTCTGCAATCTTGCAATGACCTTAGCATAGGCAACACGAGCAGAAAGAAGCTGTGGTTGCCAAGTCGCCACAGGTAGAGCAACCAAGCCGAAGATTTCTGAGACTTAGACGAGCTTCCTGGCCTTGCCCTATAAGAGAGGAATGCCCGTGTATCCTTTTTTAGTAGTTTTGTGTGACTGTTCCTTTCCAAGCCTCTGACCTCGCGTTAGAAGCAGCAAGCATTCCCCGTCTACGCTGTGTCGTCAGCGGGAGCAGGACCTTTTCTGTAGCCATTTGCGTTCAGTGCTGGAGTACTTCTTTCGAAATATCAGCAGAGACGCCGTGAACATAAACAATAAAATTTGCTGTCAGCATCTGAGCGAGGCGCAGGTACGGCGTCAATTGTCCGCGACAGCGGAACTTCAGCAGACGGGCCTGCCCCAACGAATCACAGCAAATTCGTCGCAATGACTTACAATAAAATATTGCACCAGGCACTACAGACTATGAATTTCGAGGCAAAAGCTGTGATCTTCTCAAGGGAGGGCCTGGCATATCTGCAAACAGCTACTTTCATGGACATTCACAAGAGCGAATGCAGGACAGACTAGAGCCAAGTTCAGTAGCTGCTTACGTTTGCTTTTCCAGTCAACTGCTTCACTCAGGCTTTGTTTCCACGCGCGAAAAACCACAAGATTGGCAAAATTGATGCCGCGTCTTCCATGAGACATGTTCGAAGCTTTCCTGGCCTCCATGATCACGACACACTCCTGATCCAGGATGCATTTTCGTCTAAGTTGGCAGCAAATGCGACATCTTCTCAGCCTAAAGGTGCTTTAACTGCACGCAGCACAGTTGAAAAACGCTCTGGGAGTACTCGGCGAACATTGGGGGAGACAAATGCTGCAAAGCAAGCAGCAGCGGCTCAGCTAGACGCAGCGCCTGGGCGACGGCGAAGTGGGTTCGCCTTCAGGGGAAGTAAGACAGCAAGAGATATTTCCGAGTCATTGATATTGCAGCAGCAGCAGCATTATCAGCAGCTGCTTGCCAAAAGCACAGAGATTCCTTCTCTTCATCTTCTCCTTCGGACACCTGACACGTATCGACAGAAAGATCGCAGCGTTTCCCTAAGAGGGATGGCAGCAGCCATGCAGGTAAGTGTGTAGGCCGAATAGTTCTGGCTACAGCAGTAAATTCCACTCGATATCCAGGCAAAGGTTCATCTATGGAAGCAACGCTAAGACGTGCGCTGCAGCTAATGACTAGAACTGCGCTTTTAAGTACAATATGGCCCCCGGGATGTCATTGCATCGCTCTATCACAGAAATGAGTACGGGTGTGTTACTTTTTGTTCAGCTTTTTTCGTCCACCGTGCAGCACTCTTCAGAAGAGTCTTATCTTCAGGCAGGTCAGTGTAACACCATCGGCGTAAGTACTTCTACTGTTTCTAGACATAACAGGAAAGCTAGCATTATCTAATTTGATGGCTTCGAGAGTGCGGTGTACCTGAGGCTTTTCATGTTCTTCATATGCACCGCTCCTTCAGATATCTTTGAGGCTCCAAAGGGAGCATCCAGCTATACTGGCCGTCGCATGCTCGCGCAACAGGTGGCACTGAGACTACAAGCACAGCACAACGAGGGGACATAAAAATCATGGTGATTTCGTCCTCACTGCGAAGCGCAGAGCATGCAGATAGACCTACGTTCGGTCCACTAGTACACATTTCACTCGCATGTGAACCACCGTTCCTCGGTTCGTTTTGTCCTCCATTCTGGAATGTGAGCAGCATGGGCTGGAACCGCCCAAAGAAGCAATTCGCTTTCTTGCAACGTGCAGCACAAACACATAGAATACGTCCTACACACAGTGGGTTCCTCGCAGCATTTCTCGGTAATCATCGCGGACACCTTCGGATCATACCGCACGAGCCGGCCAATAAGACACGGCGACTCACGAAGCAATCTAGTTTCCAGTAAACAGGAATTAGCACATAATTGGTCCTGCTCGGAGAATTGCAATAGCTCACCAGTATATCCCCGGTCGTTGCACGTGTTACTCTACACCCGAAGATCCACTAGAAAATATATCTAGATAAGAATACGTCCTACACACAGTGGGTTCCTCGCAGCATTTCTCGGTAATCATCGCGGACACCTTCGGATCATACCGCACGAGCCGGCCAATAAGACACGGCGACTCACGAAGCAATCTAGTTTCCAGTAAACAGGAATTAGCACATAATTGGTCCTGCTCGGAGAATTGCAATAGCTCACCAGTATATCCCCGGTCGTTGCACGTGTTACTCTACACCCGAAGATCCACTAGAAAATATATCTAGAAAGACCCACGTCCTCTGACGGAAGA